CGCTGTTCAGCGCTAGCCAGGAGCCCCTGAAAGACGCTGCCGTTTTGTGCGCTTAGCCTGCGGGCGTTCGGGCTTACACCTCTAGTGAATTTACTGCTAGGTGTGTAGCACTTGCTAATTAAAGCAGGTCTCCCCCCGCCACTGGAGCTGCAGGAAATGTGCTTTCCGTTTCTACGAGTCTGCTCAGAGTGTAAAAGCATGAACACTGGCCGCGCTTTCTCCTTGCAGGTGCTGAGAAGAATTGTAACATCCCTGTTCCTCTCAGAATGGCTGTAGGTGACTACGAGGAAATTCTCAAGTACTATGAATTACATGAAACAATTGGAACAGGTAGGCTTAATCTGTGTATGCAAACAGATGTGTGTGATCTGTCTAACTGCTTTAGTATTTATCTAAGTATAGATTAACTGTTACTGTGGAATCTATAGGTCGTGTCCAAGTGTGTATTTTGGGGGCCAGAACTCTGAAAATATAATTGGAAGTTGGTAGCAGTGATCACTCCGTCCTCTAATGAAGGCACTGCGCACTGTGCATGCTGCATACTCTAGTGTAACTATGAGATTATAGGCAAGAAAGTGTGTCATCACACCGAGCTCTAAACGTCTCTTTTTTCGAATTCTAGGTGGGTTTGCGAAGGTAAAACTTGCGCGACACCTTCTCACTGGTGAAAAAGTTGCAATAAAAATCATGGACAAACTTGCTCTAGGGGTAAGTGGAAAGATACTTAAAAGTTGGTAGCATCTTCTGCTGTTCTTGTGGAGTTCTCAAGAACACAGGGGTGCGACATGTTGCAATGCTGCCTGCTTGTCCTGTTGGCTATTGACAGATGTTGTAGACTTGAAAGAATTTTAACAGAAGACCATAAGTCTTGTGCCCTCTTGTGGAGAGGGTAACATTCTCTGGCTGTAAAATTGAGGAGGTTAAAGATTATTACAGTAATTCACACAGAATGCTGAAGAGAATACTAGGTATTTTACATCTGCCCCTCTGGCTTTTGCTGATCAATGTGCAAGAATTGTAGGGGAGTAATGGCAGAGCTATTGCTGGATTGAATTTGAGCAGTTGAATTGTATGCTGTCATATACATGCTGTGAAATTTTGTGTTGCACTAGTCTTGATGCTTACTGTAATGTACAGGCTGTCAACATAGTCAGCAATTTCATAGCTTGGTGTTGTGGTCTCTTAGGATGACTTGCCTCGTGTTAAAATAGAAATTGATGCCATGAAGAACTTAAGTCACCAGCATATTTGCCAGTTGTATCACGTGATAGAGACATCTAAGAAAATATTCATGGTCTTAGAGGTAAGGAACAGTGTTTCTGCCATGGCAAAGGTTCCTGGTTTTAGCTATACCGGTAGATGTACAGAGTTCAAATGAAACAATTTTTGAAAAGTTATCTCAATGATGAGCGTGTTCAAGACGCTTTAGTTTAAAAATTAAGCTGGTAATATGTTCTATCTTCTTGTAAAAGCTGCTCTTCGCTGTTTACAATAAGTGAAATAACTTTAATTCCTACCTTGTGCTTCAGTTATTTTAAAATAGCATCAGAAGGATATGTGGGACCCCGGAACTCCCGGGTGGTTGTCACCTCCAGGGCAGTCTGTATTGCCTGTGACGTTAGTGTGATGTATCCGTTGCAATGTGTCAGGCAAGAGTCAGGCTTCTCAGCTTGTTTCGTCTGCCGCAGTGCTGACCTAGGGCACATGTGGGGGCACTTAAGCACTACTGTGATAAAACAGAGGGAAAGGAAGTGTGTCCTCTAGTTGCTGTCCAGTGCTCTTATTGTTGTTTACATTTCATTACTGTATTCTAAATGTATTCTCTTTCCTGTCCTCGTGCAGTACTGTCCTGGAGGAGAGCTGTTTGATTACATAATTTCTAAGGACCGCCTTTCAGAAGAGGAAGCTCGTGTATTTTTTCGGCAGATTGTTTCAGCAATTGCTTATGTTCACAGTCAGGGTTATGCCCACAGGGATCTCAAACCAGTAAGCCTGAATAGTAGTCGGATTTGCATAAATAATAATAAACACCCTCTTTTATTTCTCCATTAGGAGCCGGAATAAGCTATGCTTTCACCATTCTTTTGTGCTTAGAGCTCTTTATCTAACATTGTCGTGGTTTAACCTGGTAGGCAGCCAAATACCATGCAGCCGCTTGCTCACTCCCCCTGCCCCCCCCGCCCCCCTCCTGCAGTGGGACGGGGAGAGAACCAGAAGTGTAAGAGTGAGGAAAAACTTGTGGGTTGAGATAAAGACAGTTTAATAGAACAGAAAATGGAAAATAATAATGATAATGATAGAATATACAAAATGAGTGATGCACAATGCAGTTGCTCACCACCCGCGCTGACCGATAACCAAGTAGCGATCAGTACTTCCTGGATCACGCCTCCATTCATATACTGAGCATGACGTCACATGGTATGGAATACCTCATTGGCCAGCTGGGCTAGCTGTCCCGATGATGCTCCCTCCCATCCTCTGCGTGGTGGTATGAGAGCTGTCCTTGGCAGGATACTTAGCAACAACTGAAAACATCAGTGTGTTATCGACATTCTTCTCATACTAAATCCAAAACACAGCACTAGGAAGAAATTTAACTCTATCCCAGCCGAAACCGGGACAAACATCTTCTGAAAGAGCATTATTTCTACTTGCTACTACATTCCTTAGCTGAGCTGCATGTGGCTATATCTGAAGAAGGAGCTTTCTCTAAAAGAGAAGCAGCTGGGAGTGGAGCAGAGACATGGATCTGACTTTGTATGTTGCTTTATTCCCTTTATTCCAGCTTGTACCTGGAGAGAGAATGGTGCCACTCTGTTGTGCAAACTGTTCTGTCTTCACACCCAAAGGAAAAAGCGACACTGGTAGTTTAAACAAGTGGTGGCTAGACAGAGGGTGTAAGGGGAGATGCATGCTATTGGACCCATCCTGTGGCTTTGCTGTCACTGCAGAATTTAAGCATAGGTTTAAGGAATGGAAGACTTGAGTCCATTTCTCCTCAAAGGGGTTAGAAATCTGCATTTTTAGAGACGCTGACATCTCTGAGAAAAGCAAATTCTTAATGCACAGTTTTTCTAGACAGCTCATGAAATCTTTGTCTCCAAAGAACTTCTCCCCAAAGCGTTGTATGTACGTTTTGGAAGGAGTTGGCTTGTAGCTGAAGAGCTGATTCATAGGATCTTGTGACAGCTTGTGTGGGAAGTGACTTCTAGGGGCTTCTGCTTGAACCTCCTGCTCAAACCAGTGTCAGACCAAGCTTCTTCGGGCCTTATCCAGTCACATCTTCAACCTCTCCCAAAGATGAGGCAGCGCAATCTCTCTGAGCAACCTGTTCAGCTCTTCACTGTCCTTATGAGGAGAAAGGCTTTTCCTTATTTCCAGTCTGAATGGCTCTTGATGCCTGTTGTCTGTCATTATTCCACCATGCATTGCCGTGAAGAGACTAGCTCTGTCTTCATGCCCTCCTTGTAGGTATTGAAAGGCTGCCATGAGGTCTCCACTGAAGCTTTCTCATCTACAGGCTGAACGAATGTCTTTCCTTCAGCATCTCCTCGTTAAGCAAGTGCTCCAGCCCCCTGAGCAGACTGGTGGCCATCCACTGAGCTTACTTCAGTTTGATGGCTTTCCTGTGCTTCGGGAGCAGAAACTAGATGCACTATTCTAGCTGTGCTGAGCAGAGGACTAGAGTAACTTCTCCCAGTCTACTAGCAGTGCTCCTTTTAATACAGACTTTTCTGCCAGAGCAGACTGCTGCCTCATGTTCAGCTTGTTGTCTGTCACCTCCCCCCACAATCCCGGACCCTTCTCAGCAGATAGGAACTAGTATTCCCCATCTAGAATATGGGATATATTCATTAGCAACCAATCAAAATCTCCAGAGGAGAGCTTTAGGTAAATTCTAGCTGCTGATGACAAGAAGAAATAAGGTGAAAGAAAATGTGGTTTCTTGGATACCTGGGTTATAGAAGCATTCATTACCACTTTCTCTTTTACCAGGAAAATCTGCTGATTGACAAGGAACATAATTTGAAGCTGATAGACTTTGGACTTTGTGCAAAGCCAAAGGTAAGACTATCAGCTGCTTTCACAGAGGAGAGCTAAATCAGCTACTGCACGCATATAAAAAAAATGCATGTTTGACTTCAGAGTGCAATGCAGAGACTTGCCCAAAGTCCCTAAATACAAGTGTTTGCATAGTTGTCATCCAATCACTAATTACTTGGTAGGGCCTTAACTGTGTGAGAGAGCAGTTAACTGCATGTTATGACTAGACTGTTAGATCGTTTTCTCCTCTTACATCTCCTCATCTTTTATCATAATCTAAGGCAAAGATCACCTTTTATGTGTAGCACCTGCTGTCACATATAAAGGCCTGTAATAGAAAGCTTATGTTGGTGTGCACATTTCCCTAATAAGTTTCAATGATGTATGTCTTTTTTCAAAAGATTTGTATGTATGTGGAGGTTGTGGATCGAATCAAATAGTTTATTCCGATTATATTTACAAATCTTCTCATTCCATATGCTTGTGCTGAGTTGTTTCCTGAGTTTAAAGTTGGTTTCTAGGAGCCCTTTCTATTTGTCAGCTTAACATGTGAGGTGGGTGCTGTTAAGAAACAACTTAATGGGAAGGAGGTCTTGCTGATCCAAAGACAGTTACTTGTCCTCAGATTGTTTTACTTGTCTCAAATTAGAGCATCTTGCAGGCAATCAGGACTATTAGACCATCATCTTTGTTGTATAATGTCATCTTATTCTGATCTGCTTAGAACAAAGCCCAGGCAAAGTAATAGCATAGTTTTAATAAGGAAGTATTTTTAGTGGTTCTTCATGAAGTTGTTGCATTAAATATTGGTATAAATAACCATCTAGCCTCATGCCCAGTAGCTCTTGGATCCCTTCCCAAGTTCCATCTCCTCTTTGCATTTGCAAAGGGAAGTATTCTTATCGGAGGAGGAGCTGTGGAAAAGACTGCTAGGATAATAGATGAATGGAGCAGCTTGGGATCTGAATGTTTATAGGATACTCATGGTCTTAGACAATTTTTGCCTAGTGAAGCCATATATTACACCAAAGCAAAATATAAGGTGAATGTAGATGCACAGCAGAGGAGAATGAAGCCTCTGAGGTCTCTAATATGTCGTTGCTAGAAGACTTAAGCTGTGTTAAAGCCAGTGCTTCCGTGTGATCGGTTTTCTGTGTTATTCTAGGGTGGCCTTGATTACCATCTGAACACATGCTGTGGAAGCCCAGCTTATGCAGCACCAGAGCTGATTCAGGGCAAAGCATATATTGGCTCAGAGGTACGTAGCACAGTTTTGGGTTAGGGTTTTTTTTTTACCCCCGTGTATTTAAAGGTGGTGAGGTTCAGATATGCGCACTTGGCTTGTCTCTTGAATACCTCTGGATAATGTTGCCTAGGTAGTTTGCAGAAGCTGTGTGACTAGCCTCAACAGTCACAGCCTGGAATAGCACATAGTGCTCTGTGGCACAGATCATGTAAGCTGGCTAGTTCGTCTCTGACTAATCCTTCACTATCTGCGTTTGTTGTTCCATGTTTAGTGTCCTACGCAACAGTAAGTTAAACTCCTTCCTTCTACTGCACATTCTTTCAAGCAGCAATTTGTTCTGTTAATTATCCAACTCTTGTTGCAAATTTTTGTACAGCCTCAGTATCTTGTATGCTTTACCCGGCCTGCCTTTAGCTTGAAATTCGTGTATGAAAACTTGATCTCTTTGTACTGCGCAGTGTAGTAAAATTTGAGAGAAGAAAAATTGTGGAGTTTATCCAGCTTTGATTCCATGTCTAGAACATTAGGCCCTGCTACTTGCCTTTGTCAATCCATCCAAAATGCTGTAATTGCAATCGTCTCAGACTTCCTAAATTGCTGTGCTGTTGGATGGAATCAGTCTTTTTTCCTTTTACATACCTTTGCACCACTGTCCTTGGCCTCTAACTTCTGCTTTCTTTTTTCCCTTTGTTTTGTTTTCCATGAAGTCCAGTGCTTTTCAAGCCTCCTTTTTCTTTATGGTCTAAGTGGGAATTACAGTATAAGGCAGCATGAGGCATGCGTACCTTGTTGTGCCTATACAAGTAGCGAAGAAGCAGTATGGCTTTAAAGTTGATTGTAACTGTGCTGACAGCTGTTGTAATCAGTAATATGTTGCTGTACTATGTCTCTTGTGAGTTTGATTTCATTTTTGCCAGTGAAATCCTTGTAGATTGAAGGTAATGCAGCAATTTGGTGACCTAAGGAGAGGATATTGATTTTACTAGTGCTCTAGCTTGAGTGAATTGAAAATTGAATTTGGGTTGTGTGCTTTCACTTGGAATGTAAATGTTCCGTCCAGAATCAAGGAGCCTACTTTTCATGAGTTGTACGTGGACTTTGCCAAAGGGAGACAATATTACCTGTATCTAAGCCATTTTAGATAGATCAGGTTCATGGACTTCCACTCTTATTTTTTAGGCAGATATTTGGAGCATGGGAGTACTGCTGTATGCTCTACTCTGTGGCTCTCTCCCCTTTGATGATGACAATATCATGGCTGTCTACAGGAAGATAATGGTAGGTATTGATGGAGCTAGAATACACTAGGAATAGACATTGCTAAGCATTATGAGAGGCCTTTTGCTTTTCTGATTGCAGAACCTGTTGAGCTGTGCCTAGGGTGAAAAAGCCTATCTGCTTTTACTTTGCTACTTTTCCTATCAATATTTTGTGGATTTGTTTCCGTCTTCGGTTGGCTTTTGCAGTACTCTAGCTTGGTCCTATAATATGATAGGAAATTAAGTTTCAGGAGAAGCATTTTCTTGCTGGTGGGCTGGATTTTTGTATCTGAGCCTTCATCTGGCTTCTCCCTGAGTTGTATGGAATAGAAGTGCAAATATGTAATTTGATTTACCAAAAATAAAGTTCTTAAATGTCAGCTATTCTCATGTCTAGGAAAAGCAGGATTCTGCATCTGCTATTATGCTTTCCTCCTCCAAAATAAGGAGGAAATGTAAGACACCATAATCAACAGAAAAAGTTGAATAAATAATGTCATGGTTTAACACTAGTCAGCAACTAAACACCGCACAGCCGCTTGCTCCCCCCACCTGCAGTAGGATGGGGGAGAGAATCGGGAGGGCACAAGTAGGAAAACTTGCGGGTTGAGATAAAAACAATTTAATAATTGAAATAAAACAAAGTAGAACAGTAATAATAATAATGATAACAACAACAATAATAGAATATACAAGGCAGGCGATGCACAAAGCAACTGCTCACCAAGCGCAATGCCCAGCCCAGCCTGTCCCAAGCCATGACAGCCACCTCTTCCTGGACCACGCCTCCTAGTTTATATACTGAACATGACATCATATAGTATGGAATACCCTATTGGCCAGTTGGGTTAGCTGTCCTGGCTATGCTCCCTCCCAGCTTCTCATGTGCACCCAGCAGAGGGGGGGAAGCTGAAAAGTCCTTGACCAGTGTAAGCACTACTTAACAACAACTAAAGCATCAATGTGCCATCAACATTCCTTTCATACCAAACCCAAAACACAGCACCACACCAGCTACTAGAAAGACAACTAACGCTATCCCACCTGAAACCAGGACAAATAGTAAGTAATAGAATTCAGTAATTGCTTCTGTGTCCCTGTAAACTCCTCCTGATGCAGCTAAACAGCTGCTGTTCCATATCGTACACACCCCTCTACCAACCACTTCTAAGCTGCCATAAAATTTATGTTGATAAAGCTTCCAGTAAGTGAGTGTGGTGAGGAGTGGCTGTGTTGGGTAACGGCTTTAGCTTCCTATGCCCCTTTCTCTCACCGAGAGTCTGGTATGTCTTAAAAAAAACCCAAAATACTCCTCAAGAGTGTTCAAGGTCTACTCTGGTAGGAGGCAACTGACAGCTGTAAAGTGCAGGATTAGTTCATCAAACGGCATGGCTTTTTAGTCTGGAATTGGAGTGGACTTGAGTACCTTGACAGAAAATCTGTAGGAAGCTCAGTTTGAGTTATTGTAAAGAACTTAAAAAAAGGAAGCATTGGCTAACTGATCCAAAGAGATCGTGCAGAGATGCTGATATTCAGATCACCATTAAAATGATATGACTTTCCTACTTGCATAATCATAGAACATCTCAAGTTGGAAGGGACCCACAAGGATCATCGAGTCCAACTCCCTGCTCCTCGCAGGACTACGTAAAACTAAACCACGTGACTAAGTGCGTCATCCAGATAGTGTTAGCAAGCATTTGCAGTTTCTCAGTAAAATTGCTATAAAGGGGAATCAACTAGATTGTCAATCAGACTTGAGGCTACCTTTCCCTCTCTGCTTGTGGTGTGAACTGTGTTGTCTACCAATAAGGTTAGTATACATTGAACTTGTCCATTTATAAGCATACTTTTGTAGGACAACAGAAAACCCTTTATCCTGGTCATCCTGCCAAGATGCAGAACCTGGTAAATGATCTAAGTTCTTAAGGTATTCATTCTCTTAGACTTGTTAATAGTTGAAACATGAACAGAGAGCTTAGATGTGGAACGGAGGTCTTAAGATCATCAAAGATGATTTCTGCATAGTTATACTTGTCTAACATGCACAGGAACTAGGAGCCGATTTCTTTGGACTGACAGAATGTTGGCCTGTGGAACTTGTTTAAGTGAACTGAGACGACCAAGTTAGTCTGGGTGCAGTCGAAAACTGGTAATGTCACAGGTGTTAAGATGCAGGCTTGCTATTTCCACTTGGAATTTGTTTTAATTTTATGTGGTTGTGAACTGAAAATTGCTTGAAATGAGGACACTTACGCAGTGTTGTGGAATTTAATTTCACACATTATAGATCCTGAAATTTATTGTAATCTCAACTCAGATCTATTGTTCCAAGTCAATGTAATAATCTGCTGCTTGAATCTAATTAGGATCATGACTTACATGCAGTGTTTCTTTCCCTGGAATGTTCCACATTTCTTCATTTGGGAATACTTGAATAAATGCCTTTACTTTTTGAATTAAAAAACAAGCATGTGATGTAACTTCTGTAAAAAAACCTCATTTCTCATGTGATCTTATGCATCTAGTAGCTATAGCAAGGTGTTTACCTTCCAGCATTGCCCTCAGTCAAGTAGATGCTAATTTTGTTTTTCCTTGTCCTATGTTCCGTAGCAATAGATTAAAAACAAAATATAGATTACACGTGTTGCTTGACTTGGCTTAGTTTCAGAGTAAAGCTGCATTGTGAAACGGCCTACAAACTATTTATAAATAGCTCATTAATAGTGTCTTTAAAGATGTAACTTAAATTCTTTAGCCTGTGATGTCAAAGCAATACATACTCTGCTTAGAAATGTATGTTGCATATAATACCAACTGTTTTGTTATTGAGGCATTTGTTTGTAGAAATAAAGCTGCCTTGACAAATTGATAGTTATGTTGTTTCACAATGGCTGTTTACTGATTTTTATTTATTTTTCTATATTTTCATTGAGAAGTAAATGATCCTTGATGGTGAATTTGGTTTGGTTTGTAGCTACTGTCATTGTACTTCAAATCCGAAATCCATTTTCAATTTTCTTCTAATCAAGAATTAAAAAAAACCCAGTAAATCATTTGATTGAAAGAAACTTACCTGTTAGATCTGCAACCTTTTTCCTGTCTGCAGTATGAGTAGAGATCGAAACTCTATCCTTAGATGTAATGTATTCAAAAAAAGGATAGCTGAATGTTAAGGATGGTTTATTTTAGTGTGTGAAAAGTAGTGATTTCAGTGAATATTCACATTTCAAAATGCTAATATCAGTCATTCATGCTCCAACATGTTTGCACTTCTAAAACTTCAGTATCAAGTTGATATGATGAAACAATACAATAGATAAGGAGCAGGTTAGCTGCAAAAGTGGACTGAGATGGAAATGTCACACAAGCTGAGTGGCTGTAAACTGCAGCTGGTCATTCAAACATAGCATTTTGCTTAGTAATACAGCTGAGTTTTAGTACTACCGTTAGATTTATTCAGGTCATTCTTAAAGCTAAGTTTGCATGTGCCTGCTGTTCTTCATTTTTGACCAAATACAGATGCCACTATCATCCAAGTAATTTAGCAGTTCCTTTTAAGCTAGCTATTTAAGGTTCATTCTAAATCCGCTTTTTTTCTGCAGAGAGGAAAATACACTATTCCAAAGTGGCTCTCTCCTAGCAGTACGTTACTACTTAACCAAATGCTGCAGGTAAAGGTATTGCTTCTATTCAATAGGTCTATAAAGTACTATTGCATAGGTCAAAACATTACATCAATAAAATACTTTAAAAATATTCAGTGTTGAAACAAGAAGTTTAATTCTTGCAAATTTTTGAAGAGAAGATTAATATTGCCTTCTGCTGAAAACTCTTTGAGAAGAATGATTTGGTATAGAAATAATTAAGCAAAGTTTAAATGATTAAACAAAGTCTTCAAGCAGCCTGCATTTGGTTGTTCTTAATTGTGCTGTATAAATGAAAGCTGTTTTATGAATGAAGCTAAACATACTGAATGTGCATATGGGCTACATCTAAGCAATCTAGCCAATGCTAAATATTCCTGGAACACTTATTTTAACTGTAGGTTCTGTAATTGCTCTTCACAGCTCATGTGTTTGACCTTCCTTTTGGTGAAGCTATGAAACAGTATTGGTTTCCATTTGAGCTACCCTAAAAAGGGTAGCTTTGGTTCCGTTTGAACCACACTAAAATTCTAAGTAAAGACAAATTGTTTTTCCAGTTCTTCTCCATGATTTAAGTATCGGCTTGATGTTCATTGCCCACCAGGTGGACCCAAAGAAGCGGATTACAGTTAAACATCTGCTAAGTCACCCTTGGCTCATGCAAGGTTATTCTGATGCTGTTCAGTGGCAAAGTAAACACCCAGTAAGTACACTGGTCAGATTAATACTAAAGTATTTAATGTAATCTTTACTGGCTTACTATCGTCCTCACAGTATGGGAGTGTGAAGACGTTTCTCCAGAGATGAACTTCGAGACGACCGTGGTTCCTTTCTGATTATTCTTGCTGTCAAAATGAAATTATTTTCTCCTGATTTCTCTTGAGGAGGAATTTCAAATGTGTTTTCATTGTATTCCGCAGCTGATGCTTAATTTGCAAAATAACTGACTTCTCATCAAAATGTGAAGTATTTCCACATACGAATGACCAGTTGATTCTCCAGGCTGCTTGTCATTACTTTGTTTAAGGTGCAAAACGCAAATGTTCTTGAGAGCGTGTTAGAAATGATTATGGTTTATCTTGTATCTAGTCCTCACTGAAAATTGCTAGTTTGAATAAAAACTTGACCTCATTGAAAGTATGTCCATCCTGTCTCTCTGTCACTTGTTTTACTTGTGTGAGAGACTAAGGTAGTACGGAGAGGAAAAAAATAAAATGATATAGCTGTCAGTAGTAAGTACTGAGAAGTTCCTGCATGTTTGCAGCTAATGCCTCCCTTTGGCCACTGGATGCCACTGTTTCTCTAGGTAAAGAATATCTTTACTGTGCTCGCAGCATCAGTTCTAACTGGCTCTAGAAAAGATGTGTATATCTGATAGCTTTGAATATTTAAGGAGAGATGAAAGTGTAGCTTCCATTCTAGTAAAAATCTCATCTGCTGTCAGGCTTTCTTATTTGAATTCACAATCTCTCACCAAGGAGGGGCCAGACTGTGAAGTTGTTGAACTTATATGACTTTTTCAGTCTGTTCCCTACAATATTTAGCTATGATGCTAACTTTAAAATGCAAGGTTTAAAATCATGGTTGATTATTGACTCAGCCTACTGGGGTTCACGGCAGCGTCACAGTCAGATATGGATTATGAGACAGCTTGAAAGCCTCATGCTTCAATATCAGTCATGTTCTTGCAGCTGGGACATCTTGATGAAGACTGCGTAACAGAGCTTTCTGTGTTTCATAAACAGAGCAGGGAGAGTATATCGGAATTAATATCAGAGGTAAGAAATATATATCAGTAATTTACAGTAATTAAACACAGTAATACAGCAAATAAACTTACTGTATTAACAAACTAATGCTTACTTATTCTCAAGTATGAAATTTTTAATACTTTTCAAAGTTAAGGAGCCCCTGCAGAATTCCAGAATCCACCTGCTTATAACTACAGTTCTGAAGTTCGAATTTGTTTTTTACCTTTTCTCCTTTAATTATGCTCATGATATTTCCTAAACCTTACTGTTATTTCCCACCATTGTAAAATCCTTCTGAATCTCTTCAAGCCAAAATAGACTTACAGAAATTTATAGTTGAACAACAGATGCCATTTGCTGGATTAACTCTTTGCTTTGAAATGGTTCAGTAAGTAAGAGGCGGGGGGGGGAAAGGGTAAAAGAAAAATATCAGAGCTTCAAGGCACCCAGAACCCCCAGGTGCCCCAAAGGCTCCAGACACCCCCCAAGGCCTCCCAAACTCCCCCCAACACC